CCGCCCCCGATTGTAGACCCGTGGCAGGAACTCTACGCAAATTCAGCGGGAAACCAGTATTGAAGGAGGCAGCGCCTGGACGAACAGCAGGCACACTGGACATGCGACTGATGTGTGCTGTAAGACTGATAGGTGTTTGTGGAAGCGCCTGAAAAGATACAAAAGTTTTCATCAAGAGCTGTTACCAGGAAGCTAACGCTGTATCACAACCTAATAGCCTTGGAACTTCGGCCACAACACCAAAATAAGCGCTCTTCATTTTGAGAAGGCAATGAGTTAACTGGAAGTGCTTCACTATGACATGACAGGAAAACCTTCCAAAACGCATAGCACATGAAACAAATTCTGTTGAATTCACCTTACTAGCACACCAGTCCTTCCCAAAACAACTGATTGTTTTTCTTCATGTTAGAATATTGCCACATACATTAACAGCGTGATATTTATTGTGATGTATTTAGCATGACTACGAATCACAACGAGCTTGTTCGCCACTCCTTGTTCTACTTGAAATAGTATAACAATTGATTTGCGTCTTTCAAGAATTTACTGTTGATGACATCAATGAAAATCAAGATGAGGAAATAAAACTGCTATTTGAAATCATCATAAATCGGTCTTTGAATTGACAACCAGCTACACAGAGCACTTCCAAATCGCACAGATCGTATTCAAGACTTGTAATACTCTGTGTCTCATTTGAGAAGTGCAGTGACTGGTCGAACTAATCACGTTCTGCGTGTGTGTGTGTGCTAATAGGAATTTGCTAATACTCGACGAGAGAGTCACAGCACCAAAAAAACGTATATCAGTGGAGTTAGTTCAGTCACAGCATGCCTGAATGATTTCGGCGAGAGGAAAGTCAAACAAACTGCTGGATTCCGTCTGATTATCAGACCTGTACGTAAATGTGAGGAGTTTTTAAAACGGAAACTGTTACAAAAGGCACCTGGTAAAACTAAACATAACTAATTCTAAACATACCTAGATTAACTGGCAAAGTTGTAATTAGATTAAAACTCACTTGCGACTAATGGGAGAGAAGGAACAAATGTCTGCTCCAAAACTGTTATTGCCAGTCACTCAACGAAGTGGATAAACAAATTAGATTGCACCGTAAAGCATGGATATTGTGCAAATTCATAGTAAATATTGGAAGTCAACACGAAGTTCAAACACAATGAAACATAAAACTATCAAAAAACCATATTTTCTAAACTTCATAGCCATTAGCCATTTGTAATTCAACACAACCACTAAGAACAGTGAACACAAAAATTATTCAACAAATGGTGTTATTGTGTGTGGGATTATGGTCAGTAATACAAAAAGCAACTCAACACCCAGTCCGATGTAAGACTGAACACTCAATTCGACAGCTAAGGGTTCCCGTTCCTGGCAAAAACTACCTCCAGCTATTTCTGCTTCTCCATCTCCCCTTATTTCCGAGGTTCAAAAGCAAGCAGATTTTTTTCTGTTCCAGCTTTTCTCTTCCATATACTCTCTTGCTGTCCTCCTTCTCTTTGCCAGAATCGGGCAGCCTGTACCAGACCATGATTACCACTGAAAATCTGCTTCAAGCACGACTTCATTTTGATTTCAATCAACTAATTAGTCTTGAGAATAACCCAGTCATTGCACTTGAAATGTGCACCTCCGAACTAGCTCCCATAGTTCATTTTACCCCCAGATTACTTGGAGGATTATTCCTATAGACTGAAAAGAAACCTGAACTTTTCCTATCCCCTAAGGAGGCTAAACTTTGGGTATCCAACAATTGTCACCTGAGTTCACTCACTCCAAGTTATCTGGAAAGTGGTGGAAACTATGGTCAACTGCGAATGCAAGCAGAATGACATGGATTACGGAGTGACAACAAACATAGTTTCGCCTCGATGAACGACTGACGTTTATCACCAATTCGTGATCCACCTCCCTCAAACAACGCAAAGAAGCCTTCATGATATCGCTAGATATATCTGAAGCGTCTGATTGTGTACGGCAAAATGAACAGCTAGCGAAACTCCATGCCTTTGGTCTTCCGCTTGAGCTGGTCTTATGAACTTCCAGTTTTCTCTGAAAACTCACCATCGTCGTCCAAATGGACGGAACACTGCTAGCCACTAGCAGAGTAAAAGTCAGTGTTCCACGGGCTTTGAGACTTTTGTTATACCGTTCCCTTCTTATTATTAGCGACATTTTGTCCACATCATAAAACCCCATGCATTAACGTACCCATAGTACTACCCTGAACAGTTCTTTGGCATATCCGTGTAGCAGAAAAAAGAAACAAATTTCAGGAGGCACAGTTAATTAGAAATTCAAACGACATCAACCCATCATTTACGTCTCACGGAACATAGAATACAGCTGGTCACTCACCAAGCTTGGGGACGCCGTGGAATTCGCAGAATGTATGGCACCCTGACGGCTCAGTGGCCCACGGGAACGAGAGTCACCAGTGAAGCGGGATAAAGAAGCTGCAAATGGGCTTAAACATGCTTGACTGGATGTAGAATATTGCAGTATATTGCTCTGTCCTGGAGAACACATTGTGGCGTTTGGAAGCACATGGGTGCCGGGAGTTGCTTTCGAGGAATTCATATTTGATCGATTGACAGTAGATTTGATCGGGCAAATGAATTGATTCAGAGCATGAGGAGCCACACAAGCGCGGCCATCAACTCCCACTTCATACAGATGTACATAATCCTGTAGAAACATTAAGACAACGTTTAGGAATAACCTACTGATATGATCCAAATGGTGTTATGACCAGAATGTTCGAAGTGTTGTGATTATTCTTGAGTATGTGCATACACATGGCATTCAACGACCCGGTAAAACCGAAAGCAACATAATCTGTTTTATTTTTGTATCGTCTTCAACCTAAGTTAGGTATTATACAACAGCACATGTTAAGTGGCATAGTTTACGATTACCAGCAAACTTGTCGACAGCAGACAGAATCGTACCTCATCACGGCCACTTTAGGTTGCCAAAATACCATAACATACCATTAAGGCTAAACAGGTAATGAGGTAGAACCGCATAAATTAAAATCGTGACCGAATTATAATTAAAATCAAGGGATACAGAGATCTGTTACATTTGCATCGCTTTTTATAAAAGTTAAGGTGCATTTAGCGTCAGGAGTTCCCGATATTCACATGGGATTTACTTACTTACTTTTACTTTTGATCGATTAACTCCTGCGGGAGGATAAGTTGGCTTCCTGGATGTCTCTAATGATGGCGGCCAATGCATGACGATCGATAGCAAGGTTGACGCAGTGAAAAACCCAGTTCTGGCTCCGGTTGCGAATTCCATATACGGATTGAAGATCCAGTAATTCCATATCCGCCTTGATCATACTACTCCAGGTCTTTAGTTGAACACCGAGTCGGCAACACCATCCACGGCTCGGTGCAGGGGCTACAGCCTGTCGCGAAAGTTGAGTTTCGGGCCTTCGGAGCACATGGCCAAACTACTGAAGGCACCGGTGTTGCAGCATTTTTGAATGTTTGTCGATATTCAAGCAGCGCCGTCGAACCTCATCATTGGTAATCCGATCTCTCCAATTTAATTTCAAGATGAGGCGTAAGGACCAATGATCAAAGACTTCCAGCTTCCTTGTATCCTGTACTCTTAGCGGCCAGGTTTCACAACCGTAAGTGAGGATGGGACAGATGGAGGCCTGATAAACCCGAAGCTTAGTGTCTAAGCTTATTTCGCATCGATTCCACAACGATTGGAGGAGTTGTAGGAAGGCTATTCTAGCTCCATCTACACGGAGTTGGATTCCATCCTTAGCCTGACCGTTTGGTCTTATCGTAGAGCCAAGATACTTGAAAACTTCGGTTGATTCGACAAGCTACCCGTTAATCGAGAGGGGATGTGTCATGGTGGAAGTTTCGGTCGAAAATGTCTTCATTTTCGACGTGTTAATCTCTAGCCCAATGGACTGAGTAAACTGATTTTTACGACTGACAACACGCTGGAGTTGTTCATGCTGTCTCCAAGTACAACGACATCAAACTCGAGGTCCGAAATCCATATACCTGGGCCAAGCTGCGCTCCAGGGTAGTCGATGAGTGCTTGTCACGTTATCCAATCTACGGTGTAATTGAATAACACCGGTGATAGGGGAAAACCTTGCCTAACTCCAGAGCTTAAGGTAAACTCAGCCGATTCTTCTCCATAGGTACGGACGTGTGCCCGGGTTCCTGAGTAGTATGACTTTAAAAGCCTGATGAACTTCTCAGGCGTCCCATCGGAACGCAATATGCACCACAAGGATTCTCTATCGACAGAGTCAAACGCATCGCGGAAGTCCATGAAACATGCAGTGGTAGGCTGTTGGAACTAGTAGCGGTGTTCCAGAACTCTACGGAAGGTGAAGATTTGTTCAACACAGCCTCTTCCGCGGCGAAAGCCCCCTTGGTTCGGGCGATTGTGGGTATCTCTGACGACTGCGAAGCGATTCAGCAGTACCACTGCAAACAATTTAGCCGCAATATTAAAGAGGCTAATACCCTGTAATTTTTGCATTTAGATCTGTCACCCTTTTGGCAACCGGAACTAAAATTGAAGCCGTCAAGTCTTTTGAAAAAACTTCGCTTTTCCAAATGGTACAGGAAAGAGAGTGTAGTGGATCGATCAGAGTTGGTAATCAAGCTTGGAAAGACTCTGGTGATATCCAGTCTTCTCGGGGGCCTTCCTGCTTTTCAGAGAAGTGACTGTATTGATGATTTCTGTCGTGCTAGGTGGGTCACAATTGATGTCGTAAGTCTCCGAACTGCCTGACATCTGTAGACAGCCAGCTTGGTTTGACGGCCGGTTGAGCAGCCGTCGAAGTGTTCAACCCACCTTTACATTTTTTGCTCGATTCCCGGAATAAGTTGGCCTGTGGTGCTGCGCAACAATGGTTCCGATGTCTGCCTGTTTCCTGCTGCGATACGAATTAGACGGAATAGCTTTCCAAAGTCCGCTGCGACGGTTTCAGCCTCCATGCTATTTGCAATCGTCTTCCAGTATTGTTTACCGTCACTCTTAGCGGAGTCCGTGGCTTGGCGACGGAGAATACGGAATCCAGAAGAATTGATCAGCCGCGCATCTCTTGCCTTTGCGGACAACTGCAGTGTACGCCCGGAGATCCAGTCTCTCTTGTGGCGAAGAATCTCACCTAAATGCCCCAGCGCCGCTTATCTGATGGACGTTTTCAGTGTAGACCACCGTGCGTCGACAGTTGAGTCATCAAAGAAAGTTTCAGACATGTTGGAAGCGGTTGCGTCCGGCAGCGCCTGCCTTCTCTCAGGTCGTTACAAGAGCGCGACGTTGAATTTTCCCGGGAGACGAGTCTTCCGGCGAATAGTCAGGTGAATCTTGAAGCGGGCGCGTACAAGGGTATGGTCTGTACCGTTTTTCTTTCCAGTTTCTGCGCCGCGATAGGAACGGTGGTCTTCTACCGAACAGGCCCAGTGAGCACGTACCGAAATATAATCAATCTGGTGTGCAGTTCGATCGTAATTCGAGTACCACGTGAGCAGGTGTTTTCTGGGGTGCCGAAAACGAGTGTTGGTCACGACCATCCGGTGAAGGTCAGCAAATGTGACTAAGCGCTCGCCATTTTCGCAATGTTTACCGAGGCTAAACTTTCCCAGAACATGCCGAATATGTTCGTCTGACGGATCAGTGCGTGCATTCCAGTCTACTGCGATAACGAGGATGTCGCGTCTCGGACTGCGGTTCACTGCGTCTTGAACTTGGTTGTAGAAGTCATTTTTGATGGGCTCTTCCGCATGTAACGGTGGAGCATATACAGCGATGACAATCAGGTTAAACGGCTTTCCCCTGAAGCGCGCTATGGCAATCCTGGGAGAAATTGGTTCCCAGGAGATCATGGCATTGTTGGCCCGGTTGCTCACGGCGATTACTACCCCGTGCAAACCGGAGTTGTCAGTAGGGCCGCTGTGGTATAACCGGTAGGTTGCGTTGCTATGTGGAACGTTAATTAGTTTGTGCCACAGTTAAATAGTCGGACTTCGGACAGACAACAGATGTCTACCCTGTAGTCGTGCAGTGATTGCATCGTGATACACTGGTTTCCTGTGTCTAGCAGTTCTAACATCCCAGTAGGCTACATGGATGCTGGATCTGGTGCATAGATGGTTTAGGTTCCCAGCTTGCTCATTTGTCACCACAGTCACTGGGAGAGCGCAGGGCGAGTCGCTTCTCGGGAACACCATAGCAAAAAAGTGATGTACAATTGTAAGACGATCCATGAATAAACCTGGGAATGAGGTACTAAGTGACACTTCCAGCTTCGCTCGGCTTTTGTTCGAGGGTGAACCTCTAACCCTTGCACAACCAAGTGCGACCTGCAGGGTTACAGGGTAGAATTGTTGGTAGCCGATGAACGTTAGAACGGTTCATACGCCTTTCGGATGGCTCAGCGCCAGTCCAGGGATCCCAACGTGTCCGTGAGGTAACATTCCTCAGAGTTTGTCCTACTCGTAAGAGTAGGCAAGTAGCAATTGCCTTAGTTGGTGGCGGGGCACATTCGTACACGTAGCGATGCTATCAGCAGACGCTTACGGCATTTGAATGGGATATCGGTTGCCAGTCGAAAACGCCACCACGTCTTCTAGCACCGCAGATGATCGTCCGCGACCAATTATTCAGTGAGGTAGCCCCATCTACTCACGGTTAACCACCAAGGTGGCTGTTCTCCTATCCAGGACGCGCTCGGTAGCACTCAGCTGTGCCATCCGTAGACAGTTCATTGCCTACGGGCGGATTTGAATCTGGTATGTATCCACAATTTTACAACAGACATTCAGGATCCTTCGAACCTCAACCAAGTAATTCGGTAACAACTTGGCTATTTCACGTCAGCCATTAGACGAATATGTGAATACATATTTATTGCATTGAAGAAGAAAAAACCAAAATATTGTAATCATCTTCCTTGTATCCGCGACCTGAGCCGTGGACTGCTTAGTTATTTCAGTTATGGTACTGATCGGTAGAGAAGAAAACAAGTTAGGACAAGGTGTATCGTTCTTTGATTATCTCGTGTATATAGCAGTTATNCATTTAACCTCGCCGCCACCCGTGGCTTCCAGACTGAAATCGAAAAATATTTTGAAGCCAACAGCATATAAATAAATTCATCGAATGTCACCGATACTACATTCCTAAAACTAAACAAAAGGAATCTTGACATAATAGACCCATCTTTCAAAATTCAACTGTTACAATCGCCTGGGTGTTATTTTGCTTCCTCTGAAGTAAAATTCATCCCCAGAAGATATGGTTTGGAGCCATAATACATAGAGTTTCAAGTCGAAGAAATCCATCACCACTCGGACTCCAATCGAGCATTCAATGCTGTCTTTCACGTAATCAAGCTCCTACAGCGACGCTTTTTTCTGTCAGGCACAGAGGTTGAAAATAGCAATCGGTACATATGGGGGTAGGCAGACATGTGTAGTGTGTCCAAGCAATCGGGGACAGCGTTTGATAATCACTTCGGTTGAGGTCGATTATCTGCATGCAGTAAGTACTACGACTTGATGATTCCTTACATGAACCTATCATCAGACACGCATAGCAATAACCATAGACTCTAATCTGTCTAGCATCCTTGGAGAGGGAGACAGGTCTCGAAGCCGTAAAGCAAAACAGATATATGCACAGTAAGGAAGGTATAGTGGAAACACAACAAATGTTTCAGGTTTGCGGATGCATGCATGGTTTTTGCTCTGTGCGACTGCTCACCTCAAGGAAATGCATCTATTTTTACTCGACTATCCCCTGTTTGGATAAAAGTCAGTTACATGGATTGCAATAACGATCGAGAATCTTAGGATTGTATTCCACACACGTCTGGATTCAAACTGTGGACCAAAAGTACAATAATCTTTATAAAAAAGAAGTTTCATAACATGTTGTGGGTGGAATATTGCTAGGTTGCCCGGGCTAAGGTAGGAGAACTCTCTGGGGATTCACGATGGCAGCCTTTGACTAACCAAAGCCTGAACCGGGAGACAGCGGGATGGTGTGTAAACCGCAAACCCTAGGGGGCAAGTGTTCAGTTCATCGGATTATACGCTTTATGGACGGGATTAAAGGTCCAAGGTGCCCAATCGATCCGGTGACCACTGTCACAACCAGAATGGCGTGGACGAGTGCAGTTCGTACGCCTCTTCTTGGTTGGTTTGGAATCAGGGATTTTATTTAACTCCCCTAGGTTAGTTTCCAGTGGACTACGTTGACGATACAGAATCTCTGGAGCAGAATTAAAAGCGACGTAATCAGCACGCCTATTCAAGGTTATATATCTAACCCGTGTACATTAAATACAACCAACAAAGTTGCTCCAAACAAGTCGTTAACCAGCAGTTCGGCTCATTATCCTACTCTATGAAGTCTTGTCGAGTAGATGGAATGAGATAAGGGGCTATATCTTTAATAGAAGCAGGCCACATTACCGTCGGTAGGCTCCTATGGCATCCTGAGGACATGAGTTGCGTTGGGTAAAAGTCTACCACGTCTTCAGGTCCTGTCCCTGCTCGTCCATGAGCGCTTATTCAGCGCTCCTGAGGCCGATTTGGTATCCGTTTTGTTTTCTTATCCGCAACCTAGGGATGCACCAGGTGGCATACAGCTCTGCCTTGGATATAGTAAAATAGCCTAATCTGTAACAACGAAAAAATACCGTTCTGTAAAAGAGGCTAACGGTTTATTAAACCCCTGTGACCGGGAAATAAATTCAAACATGCAAACAGACAAGTGAAAACAACATCAATGTAGATTTATTGTAAAAGAAAACTAACTTCGGGAACAGCTTTCTCCAACTGCCACAGAGAGTGCAGCCCTGTTGAATGATGACGAGTCAACACCAAACCCATTGATGCAATCACTGTTATGACGTTCAAGTTGATATCACTGACAAATGAAACGCCAAAGCCACCACCCGGTAAAGGCACTTTCAAGAGTACTGGGGCTGCTTCATCCAATGGGTGTGTTAGGCTGAACATAGTGAAAAGGCTACTTGGTGTCGAAGACAATATCTTCTTGTTTTCGGCTGTTCTACTTTGTAAGAGTTCATCTGATGTCGGTTGACGCTCGAGTAGTACGCAAGTTTCCAAGGGCCAGGCCGAGGACAACCGGCAAGGAAGTCGAGCCGTATACTGTTCACCATCTTCATCAACAAATGTAAGACGCTCCACCTCAAAAACGGCCAACCCGCGTTGCAGTCGCCCAGCATCATCGGATGTGACATGTTTCTGGAAAGGATTCAAACAACGGAGGTTCGGTAGTGGACATTTGTCATGGTATAAGTTCAGTGGTCTAAGTTTGCAAAGAAATTGAGAAGATGAAAGAATCCCACTGTTTACGACACCCAGCCATATCATTCAGTGTCTCTAACCATCGGCTACGATTATCCCGAGGTCCCCAGCCAGGGAGCCTAGCAGGACCTATGTGAACCAGTCTCCTGGTCAGGGTTTTCAAACCATCGTGTCAGGTCTTAGCCTGACCACCCTTGGCTTTTTTCTTTTTTCATTTTACTTCCTTTTATTGTATATACAACGATACAACAATTTTTCACGAAGGGGGAAGCGGCCAACCAGAGGGCTGCCATTCAACACACAGGGGGAATTCAGGCGGTGATGGTGGGGTTCGAACACATCCCCTAGGTGATGATTTGGTGACGTTACCACCGGGCCACCACCACCCTTGGCTTTTTTCCACTCGGTGTCTGCTTCGGCGAACATCGCTGGCCGTGGTGACCTATCTGGTGGCATGCGTAACACATGTCCCAACCAACGTAATCTATGGGGGTCGACCACTTGATCCAGTGGGCGACCGCGGATACCCTAAATCTGATAGTGTGCGGACATTGAACGCGGCTAAATGAAAAGGGGACTTGGCTTTAAAAATCCTATAACTTCTGATTGTCTGGCCTTGCTTGTAAAACGCTGATTGATATTCGATGAGCGGTGTAAGCAGGAGGCATCTGGGATTATTTTAGATTGAGAAGAACTAGACAGATGGGAAAGATGGTTTTCCAAATGGGTGCCTAGGATCTTAGGGCACGACATACTTCGCGGTAGCCCACACCAACGAAGGTTTTTTGTTAACCCTAACTGGAGTCTTCGACCCAAAAGTCTGACCCGCAAGGCAGTGGGGCATAGATCCAACGCGTGAGCGTGAACGGAGCACCTGTGTGTGAGCTTCTAGAGACCTGTCACGCAAGGCCTTCTGGTTTCGGTTTAGTGTGTTGTTCGCTGATGCGTTGATTGTCAGCCCGCTTTTCGGGATCTGCCCTTAGTCCCATGCACCCAATGAGACAAGCGGAACGTGGACGGGACAGCAACTCATTGGCTGGGGCTACCCAGCTAGGGCGGGTGGTAGCTGCCCAATGAAGTGCGAAGACTCCTCCCACCGTCGAGAGGAAGCCCCAGATACCCCGATCCTACGTCCATCTAGTGGGTTTTTTTACCGGTAAACTGCCCTTCGCCGTTCATTTGCTGCTGGCCTCTTCAGGGACGGGTATGGATAGAGTAAGAAAGCCAGATGTCCAAGCAGCTGGGTTTGTGAGACTAAGGTTCGTCTGGCCTCTACCCGTTGACCTTTCAAGCATGATTGGATCTGCGGCTATGAAAAGACATCCTGTGTAGCTCGCAGGGTTATGGAGGCA